AACAGGGGTAGCCCTTGGGAAAGTATCAACAATACTTCATGAAACCTAATCTCTAATACAAGACAGAAAACAGGGGTAGCCCTTGGGAAAGTATCAACAATACTTCATGAAACCTAATCTCTAATACAAGACAGAAAACAGGGGAAGTCATTGGGAAAGTATCAACAATACTTCATGAAACCTAATCTCTAATACAAGACAGAAAACAGGGGTAGCCCTTGGGAAAGTATCAACAATACTTCATGAAACCCATTCTCTAATACTAGACAGAAAACAGGGGTAGCCATTGGGAAAGTATCAACAATACTTCATGAAATCTAATCTCTAATACAAGACAGAAAACAGTTGCAGTTCTTATGAAAGTATGAATAATACATACCTCAAATGATTTTTTGAAAGTTCTTACAAAAATTTAAATTTCTACCCAATTCAGAATGATTTAATATTTTGGTGGAAAATTTGCATATGGCTTGGCATGGGTTTTTTATGATAGTAAGTGCTGAATTACTATTTATAATGCTAGTAAGGAAAATGAGACCACTGGTAATACTTTTAGATGGTGAACTGATTCCTTATTAAAAAGGTGGTTATAAGTTGTACTTTAATATTTTATTTTCAGTTGTTAGTGAAGAAATAAAAAAAAAACATACACAACATAATAGTTCTCATGACTGAATCAATGGACAGTTTCAATCTGATTCCACAACCTTGAAGCATCAACACTACACGTATTAAAACTGAATAATGGTTATAAAAAATCTTAGCTTTAATAATCAAATTCAAACCAGTTAAACCTAATTGTAAAAATCTCTTGACTTTAATACTGAAAACTTACTCCAGAAATAAATAGCTGATATATTGCTAGTCAAAATACAGTATACAATAAATACATGATTATAGTTGTTTACCAACAACAAATTTCAAACTGAATTCTCAAGAATTTCATAATTACTGAGTTTTTCTTTTCCCACTTTAGATGAGGTGGGAGCATTGGTTTTTGATGTCGGACACTACTCTTTTAGAGCAGGGTATGCAGGAGAAGACTCACCAAAGGTAACAGTGAATCTAGCTGTAAATGTAAATGAATGACGATTGTGGTGAGGGAACTCTTTATAAACAAGACCCGAGATCTGTAAATTCAGAACTGTTACTGTATTTTAATATTAAAAATGTTACAGGACTCATTTTAATCTTATATTTATATCTAAAACAGTTGACCAGGTTAATCATATTTATATGCTATTCAACCCAAATAGTGTGAAAGATTATACATATGTGTAAGAAAAGTTATTGTCAGGCATGACTAAAGTGACAAAACTTGCTTCTCTCTATGTTTTAATGCTAATAAGCATATTGTCACTAGTCCAAATATGACACAAATGTTGTGACATACATGTTGTTTTTATTTTAGGATATTAAGAGTGTTTTGGGTGGAATTTTGTGTTCTGTAAGACTGTAAAATTTCTGTTTCTTGTTAACAGTAAAACAAATTGTAAGCAGATTTAAGGTTCCCAATCCTGGGAAGTCTAGAAATAAAAAGTAATTCCTTTTGCTGACCCATTTTTTACATATATTTAAAACAGAAATATTTTTTTAGATATCAGCAGATGTAACAGATATTTGAAGTTTAGACATCAACTACTAACTTTAGAATTCTTTTATTAGTTGATAAAAAGTTGAATAATTCATTATTTTTTCAAGTAACAAAATCTGGCACTTTGGTTAACTCTCTCAATACGGGCTCTGTCCCAGGAACCAAACTCGTAACCATTTTGTGCTTGTCATCATTTTCATGCTATAGCTTTTAATACAATTAGCATAACTTCATGAAATATTGCAGATTATCAGTAAACATTACAAGGTTTTTATACAAAAATATCAGCTGTTGTAAGTAATGATTTGCTCATTCATTTTTCTTTTCGAATGTTGACTATCCAACATGCAAAATAATTTTTTATTTTAAGATTAAAAATACTTTTCTGCATCAGAAAATTTTCAAATTTATATGCGAAATGTTGTTGTTGTTTTTTCAGAAAAACTTTATATTTTATCTGTTATTTTCACTATTGTTTCTCTGTATGGGTTTGGTCAATTTGACCAACCTTATAACCACCAGAAAAAAAAATAGGAAATACGTATAAATTACTCTTTCTTCATTCTAGAATTACTACAAGTTACAGCATGAAACCATAAATGTTTAGCATAAATAGCTTAATTCTTATAACATTATTTTTAATTTGTTGACCTTTCAGCAGAGTCTGACTAATATTAAAGAAGTTGAAAGACATGGCACACTTGCACATGTGTTACTGTATCCAATAATATAAAATTGGTCTTTAGAATGTGATCTGTGTTCTAGTGGACCAGTATTTTGTAAAATACAGTCACATTTCAATTATTGTTCATTATATATGTTATTACTATTTAGAAATAAGTTCTTGAACTTATTTTTCTTAAAACATAGAACAGTAAATACAGAAGTATAGCAAACAGTTTTCTCTTCTAGTTACAAACTTTGTACTCGTTTGCTGCTTGCCGTAATTTGCTAATCCCTTTCAAATTTTGCAGGTGAAGAATCCAGAACAAAATAGTTTTTTTATATCTTATACATGCATTTTGAAATAACAAAAAATCATAAATTACTATATCAATACCACAGAATTCCACTATAATTTATCAGGCTTAGTGACTAAGCTGGTTTGGATCTAAAAAAAAAAGATTTTTTGAGCTCAATAATGTTTTACCCTACCATGGAAAGAATAGGTTTTTCACATAAATATTTCGCAGAGGCTCGGAAAGCCATGTAGGGAACATTCTAAGCTTTCGATTGGTTATTCACACGTCAGAGGCAGA